GATGCTGTTGGACTACAATTCCCATCATCCCCAGCGAGTTGGGTCAATAGTCAAGGTTGATGGGAGTCATATTCCAACAACATCAAGGCGGGGGTGCAAAGGCTCCTCAGCCTGGATTTCTACAATGATCAGAGTCCAACTGCATGGCTGGCTTGGAGCCATGCCCTCTGGTGTCATTAGTTGGCTCCAGTGGGGTTCTCTCTTTAGAGATGTACAAGGGAGTGAAGGACCCTGAGTGAGCCAGTGATGTTGCAGAACTGCAGATTTCAGTTCTGCACTTGAGAAACTTTGCTTAAAGTCAAGCCCTCTCCCCCCGGAGTGGTCCACAGACTGCTCTCCCTTAACATGGTCCTCCTCAGTTACATTCGAGGATTGCTGAGCCCCAGAAGCTGGGTCCACATCTGTATGCAAAGTCCAAGGACTGGTCAAAATGCCCCAGTTCTGACACCTTTCCTCCCCCACAGCCTTGATTTTCGCACTGGGAAAGAAAGCATAGTATTGATTGTGGTCTTATATTTTACTATTCTAGGGTGAGCTGTGCCATCTCCTGTAATCTAGGGAGCTCCAAGCTGGTTTTAGTAGGTTTTGGTTGTTTCAGATGTTATCATAAATATTTTGCATTGCTTTTAATATCATTTTTATTACTATGGGATTTTTTTGCTTCCAAATTACTGTTAATAAGCTTTTCATTCCTTGCCAGACTGGTTTACTCGCTAATGCTCCCTGTAATATGTTGGAAAGCATTTTAGTTAATTAGTGGGAATTAAGTCTGGAGGATTTTCACATAATTGATATGCACCAAGTATTCTGAGTCATAATGTGTTCTAAATCAGGATTGCTTTTGATGATCCTAATATGTAAGTAGTTCCCTTTAGCACTATAGCCTAAAGTTGTATTCTTCTGCTACTTTGTTATTTGCTGCCTGGGGCTGCCTTGGGAAGAAGGGTAGGACAGAAATTTAGGAAAGGCAGACAGAAAGTTAATTGCAAGATGTAAAAATAGATTGACTATGCTATACACCAGGGGTGGCTAACATTTATGAACCCAGGGGCCACAATCACCCTTGGCCAAACCTGGGCAGAGGTGTGTGCGCGCACGCCCATAAGGGAGGCTACATGCAGGCAGTTAGAATGGCCAGGGCTTTTTCCAGGGGGAACTCAGGAACTCCGTTCCAGCAACTCTTTTTCTAGAAAAATAGCACTGGTCTGGCTAACTCACCCTCTCACTTGCATATTCCCTTTCTCACACAGAGAACACATGAAAGATTCACACTCATGCAGGTCACAAGCACACAGCGCCTACTATTCCCCACTCATCCCATTATATGAGTGGCAGAGTGGGAGGGCACTTTAGACATACCTAGCCCTCTCAAGGGCAGGAGACAGTTCTGCCAGCTCATTACAATTCCCCCTGCCCCCATGCATAGCATCAATTGGATGGTGGTTGCGACATCACAAACTCTGCTCGCTCTCCTACTTCTCAGAACAGTTTTGCAACTCTAGAAGAACTGGTTTCCTTTTTAAAAAAGTTGGTGGTACAAGAATGTTTAGATAATTTAGCAAGTATGTTTAGATAATGTTTAGATAATTTAGCAAGTATGCAGCTCTTTAAGAAAGAAGAAGGTACACATTGTGCCCGAAGAATGGGGCAATATTGATGACTCTTGGAATCATTGGGGAAGTCCATTTTTTGCGAGGACAATGAAAGATCTGTCTTGCCATGCTGGGGGGAAGCACCACAGTTGTGTTCAACGAATGTTTGAACTCGGCTGTAGCATTTCAAAATGCAACTGCCAATTCCTACCTGTGCCCATCTGGCATAGTTCTTGTACCATGACATTAAGAAAGTAGCTAAGCACTATGCGTATCTATTAAACTCCAGCTGCTTTCAGACACGTGTGATTATGTCAATCTACAGACCAACGGGGATGATGCCAATCTACTGTTTGAGTCCTGATAGGAACATGGGAAACTCCTTGATTATGAGTCACACTATTGGTGCATCTAGCTCAGTACTGTCAACACTGACTGGCAGCAGCTCTCCAGGGTTTCAGGCAGGAGTCTTTTCCCCAGGCTCACCTAGAGATGTCAAGGGTTGAACCTGGGACCTTCTGCATGCAAAAGAGATGCTCTCCCTCTATCCTATGGCCCAACCCCAGACCCAGGGACTACATGTTCCAGCGTAAAATCTTCATGCTAGCTGGTGCCTCCTCAAACCCATAGCAAGAAACATTATGGTGGATAAGGGCTGCAAGCACGCGAGGGGAGCACCTTAAGTCAAAGAACAAGAATCTGTATCTTGAGCATAATTTAATGCCATCTTGTCAAGCCTTGTCAGGGAAATTCCCTTGGGTGTTCAAGTATGAAAGGTAAAGGTAAAGGGTAAAGGGACCCCTGACCATTAGGTCCAGTCGTGACCGACTCTGGGGTTGTGGCGCTCATCTCGCTTTACTGGCCAAGGGAGCCGGCGTACAGCCTCCGGGTCATGTGGCCAGCATGACTAAGCCGCTTCTGGCAAACCGGAGCAGCACACGGAAACTCCGTTTACCTTCCCGCCGGAGTGGTTCCTATTTATTTACTTGCACTTTGACGTGCTTTCGAACTGCTAGGTTGGCAGGAGCTGGGACCGAGCAACGGGAGCTCACCCCGTCACAAGGATTCGAACCACCGACCTTCTGATCAGCAAGTCCTAGGCTCTGTGGTTTAACCCACAGCGCTGCCCGCGTCCTTTAGTATGAAAGCTCACACCCAATTCCCAGTCGGTCAGTTTTATTCAGCAATGCATTACAGAATAGAGTTCAAAGCGTTCATCCCAATCAACCCAATACCCAGGAGCATAATGTGGGGAGGGCCAGTGGGGCCCTGGCCCTGGGCGCAGATTTTTGAAGAGGTGCGAGGGGGGCGCAAAAAGGCGCCCCAGTGACAAGATGCCTCATTAAGGCAGAGTCGTGAGGAGGCAAGTCAAGCTGCACCCAGGCCGGGCCTTCAGGACTGGGGCACTAGAGGCGTCTTCTTCTCCTCATGGCTGGTGAAGGGACACCCTCGTTTGCCCCACCACTGGGACAGCTTGGATGGAGGGAGCCGCCAACCAAGGAGACGTGAGAGCCTCTGGCAGCTGTCCCCTCTTTTGTGAACAGCCCTCAGGTCCACCCTCCTTGAGGGACATCTTCAAGCCTCTCCTCACTTCACCTCATTCCCTGGCAGCTCAGATCACCATGGCTCGGTCAGTGGTGAGGGCTTGGGTTGGTGAGGCCACCCTCCACTCCTTGCTCCCCAGCACACGCACCCGGGACGCCGACAACCATGCTACGCCACTGCCAACACCTGACCATTTCTCTTCCCACCGCAGTCCTTGAAATGCAACTTACTCAACCTGTTTTTCACTGTACGTATCAGGAGCTTCCTTGCACTTTCAATGGAGTTGTTTTAAATTTTTAACAGTCAGCTGTTGATTTCCTCCTTCAATGGTTGTTACCAGTTTTGTGGTCAGGTTGCACTCTTGCAGCTGTGAAACTAGCCCCGCTGATAATGAGTTTAACAGAAATGCCACCTCAGCCTTTACGGGGAGATTTTTGGCTGGTTACAGCAATACCAAACGCAGCAATAAAAAATAGTTTTAAACAAATGACCACCACAGTTAGAGACAACCACAACTAAAACACAAATTCTGTCTTCCAATAGCCATGATTACCTGTTTTAGAAAGAAAAAAAAAGAGAGGCGAATATGGTTTGGAGCCGATTATTCTGCCAGTTTTGCAGAGGACAATTGGCCTTGCATAGCAGTACACAGGGCTGGCCCACCCATGAGGCAAGGTGAGGTGGCTGCCTCAGGTGGCAAGATCCACAAGGCAAACAGATCGGCCTTCCAAGGAATACATTGCTCATTGCTGCTGCTGCTGCTGCCGCCGCCATGATAGCAGTGATAGCTGCAGCACACTCCGTGGAGGCCAGATCTGCCATTTACCTGTAGCTCTTCACCCACAACGACCTCTTGGCAAATAGGAGATGCTGCTGGTTTGTTCCCAATGAAGGTCTTTACCCCAATCCCTTCTTCCTGATGTAGCTCTTCACTCATCCCTTCTTCCCAGAGGCATAGCAAGGTCAGGTGGTACCCGGTGCAGAATTTTTTTTGTCACCCCCCCCCAAATTATTAAAAGAAGGAAAAATAAGATACTTACAGTTGCAAGTGTTATTTTCTGGTTTATTTACTTAACATTGTGAGCATAAGCACTTAAAAGCTCTGCAGACTCCGTGGCTTCAATATCAGCCAGAAACAAATTTCTTCTAACCCACCACCCCATTGCTCTGTTCACCATCTAGCCTGATGGTTGAACTTTGCACACTATTTTGCAATAGGTAAGCCTAATAATGGAATTGCCCTAATAAGGATGTGTGTTTTCCTTATGGTTCGGTGCCGCTCACTTTACCTTTACAATGCCTTTTAAAACAGGTGGCTAATCTGTGTCCCTCCAGGTGTTTCTGGACCGCAACTCCCATCATTCCTATTGGCCATACTAACTGGGACCAGTGGGGGACGTAGTCCAGCCACATCTGGAGGGACACAGGCTAGCCCCCCGTTTTAAAGCTGACTGTGTAATGCACCATATTAGAAGCACAAATCCCTTTCAAGGGGCTATTTCCCTCTCACCCCCCTCGTGTTTTTTCTTAGTATCTGCCCTGAACAACTCTGCAACTCAAACGCTTGCTCATTCTTTTGAGACATTTGAGTTAGTCCCAATAAAGCATTGTTCAACTATTGGGCTGTTGTTGTTTTAATTAAATGCACCATTTCAAAAAGAAACTGATGTTCTTAGGCTGCAGTTCTACGCCTGCTTTCCTGGGATGAATTCCCGTGGAACTCAGTGCAGTTTACTTCTAAGCAGACATGCAAAGAAGGGCACAGTTGTTTAAGCACTGTCTCAGCAGCTCACTGAACAATGAGAGACAATTTTCATTCTAATGTGAATACATTCTTATATTAATTCTCTCCTGCAATGTTGATGTATGGATCTTAACTTGTGTTTCTTTGGGGTGTTAGGAGGCACTGATATATCTCTTGGCTTAATCAAACTGAGAACGCATCATCCAGCTTCTTGTTTGAAAGACGTGTTTGTTTATTATTATTATTATTATTACTATTATTATTATTATTATTATTATTATTAATTCCTGAATACCTGGCACACCTGGACCGCAATAATCATATGGATATAGAAAAGCAGGGGGAAATGTCCTGGTAGCTTTATTGTAAATATCCCTGCTACGTAAGAATAGCCTTGCCTGATCAAACCAAAGGGTCCTGTTCTTCCCGCCTCTTGTCCATCTCCAGCTAAGGTAGGGTCTTCCCTGGTTGGGTGTGTGTGTACCATTTTGTGGTTTGCCTCAGTGGCAAAATGTGGCCAGCTCTGGAAGGAGTGAAGTGTACTAATTCCTGGATTACACAGACCCTCTGATGTGTTGACTCTGCTGGGATAGTGTGGTTGTGAGATTAGGTAAGGGGAAAGAAACTGAACAAAAAACAAGCATTCCCCTGATTTGCATAGATCTAAAAAACGATTAAGAACTTCCTGAATCCGGTTCACTTTTTAAAAATTGCTCTTCTTGAAATACAGCTGGCCAGCCTATAAAACAGGTTCCATTCCTCTCCACAGTACAGAGCAACTTTGGACTTCCACGCCTTCGCTCCTTCTTGCAGAAATGGGAACTTGGACTGCTCTCTGTGCCTTCCTTCTGATTGCCTTCATCCATGGTGAGTTTAGACTGATTTAGTGTTTTTAATAGGGAAAATAAGAATTCAAGGACTTTTAATAAATTGACAAGCTTTTTTACACCATGTACATCCTTAGCAAGTGTTAAGCACACAGGCAAATTAGGTTAAAACTTGAAGGTGATGTTAGTAATGATTGATTGCCCAAGAAAGTAATTAGGTGTTCATTTTTGCCTATCTGAAAGGAAGCTCCACAGAGTTCAGCAGTGCAATTGATTGGGGATGCATCCTGAAAACCTCTTAACTGTTGAATGCTTCTTTCTAACAATGGCAGGCCTATTACTCCACTGGTGGGCAACCTATTTGTTTTGTATTTGCTCTAATGGGCTGGTATATTTGCTCTCACCTTTCGGGAGAAATGTTTCTGAGCCAAACAGTGGCTCATAGCCAGAGCAATATACCTTGTTCTTGTTTCTTGGAGGAAATCCAACAAAGGCTGCTGTGGGATGCTCTAAAGTACAGAATATCATGTCATCAGGGAGTGAGCTGGGCTAGATGGCATGTGGGATTCATTGGACTTGTGAATCAATAGCTCATAACTGACGTTTTTATACCATTTCTCTCCTGTGTGGAGAAATTCGTACAGTGCAAAGATTTTTAGCAGTTTGAGATAGCACTGACTTAGCACAGGGGCCTTCAGTCTCTCAGCCTACCATCTATAGCATGGGAAAGGATAATAGCAGACAGTGACCTATATTACAGCATTACCTCTAGTTCACCCCCCCCTCCCCCCCCGTGCTCAGTTACTGTCCCATCCTGATTTGGGAAGTTTGCCCACTGTGTCCAAACTGGGGAAATTATGCTTGAAACCTCTCCAAAGCTGTGGTTTCTGATTATCCTTTGAAGGCAAATTATGATTTGTCCAAAGCAGCAAAGGAAACAATTGGAGCATGAGAGATTTGTAGGCTTAGCACACTGAAAAGGAAGAATGGGGGGGTGGAGGGGTTGTCACGGGTCTGTTTGCAAACCAGGGAAAGTATGAATATTACATGCACAATGTGCATGCACACACACACACACACACACGGCAACCAAGCACATGCAATGTAATCACACAAATGCACACTCACCTCCTCCCCACCAGCAATGGCACATTTCAGACAGGCAAGAGCACTCAGAGGTGGTGCAGGGATGCTCAGGTAAGGGATGTGGCTTAAGGGGCAGAGATTGCCTGGAGAGTCTCTAGGACTAGAAAGACAACTGGAGGGCTGCATTTGGTCTCCAGGGCTGAAGTTTCCCATCGATGGGGTAGAAGATAGCAGTGCCATTTGGTTTACGGCCACCATGTTCATTAGTACCTGTGCCTCTTTGTAAATGAAAAGAATAGGATTCTAGGAGTGTGCAAGAGTTTGAAATGCAGGGTGTCCAATTCATTTGACTTAACTTCTTAACTCCATCTTGGTTCCTTCTCTTTGCCTCAGGTACCTGTTCCCAAACATGCCTTTGTGCCCGTGGCTTTTGTGAGAGAGGCTGGGTGCAGTATCAGAATGCCTGCTATAAAGCTGTGACACAACCAATGACCTGGACCGATGCAGAGGCAAGTGACTGATGTGATGTCAAAGGGGACAGAAACAGACCAGTCACACGTCCTTGACTAGACCAGATTTGCAGGAGAAGCGGAGGCTGCTCTGTGGAAAAACATATTGCAGAGGTCTTTGCTGTCCTTCTGGGGAAAATAAATAGTGATTACCTAGAAATACAATCGATTTGTCCACCACCCTTTTTATTTTTGGACATACTGTGGAAAACACAAAACTGAGGTCAGATTAAATGCCAACACTTGTCCTGCCTGGCACACACAACTATCTCTTTCCCCCTTGGCATATCATCTAGTGGCAATTACTTGTGTCATAATGATGCAATGCTCTGTCCCCCAGCTCTCCTTCGCCCCCCCCCAAAGAGGACAGCCACTGATCTTTATCAGGGAGCAGGGAAATAGGTCACCACGTAGCCAAGCACTGCCACATATTAACAGAAATTAAGCAGGAGCAAAACAGGTACCATTCTCAGCCATGGATGTGCTCTGATGCCTTCACCCGACACTTCTCAATGAGATTTCCCCCATTGCTTTCCAAACCACAAAAAGTCTGTTTCTTCTTTCAAAGTTAATTTGTTTGCATTAGTGCATTTTAAAAAGGTAAAGGTAAAGGTACCCCTGCCCGTACGCGCCAGTCTTGACAGACTCTGGGGTTGTGCACCCATCTCACTCAAGTGCATTTTAGTTCACTTTAATTGTGCACAACTCAATACATAGAATACAAATCTTTATTACAGTCATAGACCAGCATAAAAGGGTGGGATACAAAAATTTAAAATCTGAAAAGTGTTTGGAAAGCTAAAAGGTATTAAAACAGAAGGTGAATATAAAAGTCTGTAAGAATTTAAAAGAAGCTAAAAGAAGCTAAAAGAAGGGATAGGAGCACTGGGCGGGTGTGGAAAGAGCATAAAAGACTTTAACTATTAATTTATAGAGCACTCTGATATGTTCATTAAATCTGGTTTGTGGCACAGGTCATCCTCCGACGAATTTTGAGTGCTGCTGTGCAGAATCTAGCAACATTGTATGTTGTCGCAGGATTGGTATCTGAGAGCAGCAGGGAGTTATAGAATTGCCCTGTGCGCCCTGGGTACTTATGAAGTAGTGGGGAAATCAGGCTATATACCTCAATTGATGGCATGCGCTTGAATCCCTCCAGCAGAAAGGTGACAGTCTCCAGAGGCAGTCCTAAACACAAAGAGCACCTCGATGCACATATACAAAGTGCAGGATTCCCCACACGCAAACACAAACACACACAGTCACAGCACCCTGACTTTAAACCACCCACCCAACTACCCACCTGCTACTGCTTTGCTGCCAGTTATTTTGCTCTGGGAGGAGCCTCCACTCGCTAAACAACCGAGTGCTGAATGATTTGCCCTTCACAAAAGCATCTGATTAAAAGGTGATAGTTGAAACCATGTGAATACATGACAGATCTGCACCAAAGCAGTGAAGGGCAAGCTTTTCTAACATCCTTAATTTGGGGGGCAAAATTAAAAACAGCAAAATGATAAACGGGAAGCATATTTTGATGAGAGCAAGAACAGTTGCAACCAGAGGAGCTCTATACTTCATTACAAAGCAGTTATACTAATGAAACACAGCTGTTCTACTTCATCAGATTGATCTGAAGTTTTTGTTGCTTCACCAGGTAACTTGGAGATCAGCATGTAGAGATTTTAATATATTAAGTGGGTTATGAATGCCTATAAATAAATAACAAATAACTTCTCTCTATGTCAAGTTTCAAACTAGAAAGTTTTCAAACTATAAATAATGGAAATTTTTGAGCTTTCTAATGGTACTGTGCTGAGATACGCCATTCTTATGGTTGTGGGGAAATGTCTGAGAGTATTTAGACACCAACTGCATTGATTTTCAAACTCTGCTTAAAAGGGAGGCGTTGCACAGATATTTGGTTCTTGTGAAACAGACCTTTTTTTTGTAATTAAGCAGGAAGTGAATTATTTCCCTGTGCATTTTCCCCCCAGATGGCTTGCCAGAGATATGACAGGGACTCTCACCTAGCCTCCATCCACAGCCCAGAAGAGAATGACTTCATTTTTCACCTGATGGGCAAGCCACTGGATTACACCAAAGGAAAGGCCTACTGGATTGGTGCTCATGACACTTTCAAGGTACACTATGCTGACTTAGCCATTCAGAATAGCCAATAAGTTCAGCTTAATTATATATATATTTATATACGCTGTTTGTGCTCCATATTGGGAGGGTTTTGCCCTGAGAGGTAGCATATATTTCCCCCCATTTTTCCATGGCTTTTTATAGGCCTAGTACAATATGTAATCTGTGTTTCTTTTTTTTCTTTGGAAGACTTAGCAAGCCTTTCTTCCTGTGAATGTTTTAGCTCAAGATTCTGTTGATCTTTTCTTAGGAAGGAGACTTTGTCTGGACAGATGGTTCCAAATTTGATTACCGGACATTTCCTCCTTCACAGCCTGATGGACTGGCAGGCGAACACTACTTGGGATCCTGGGTTTTGCAAAATGGTGAAAAACAAACTCCCCTCCCCTGCAAAGCGCTTTTTTGGGAGGGATCAGGGATTTGCTTAGGCATGTGTGTGTCTCTGTGTGTGTGCTCATACACTGGTAACAAGGGTAATAAAATAGGAAGCAGACCCTGGGGGGTGAAAGAATCCACAGAAGCTGAGCAGACAAAGCATGAGAGGAGAATATTTTGTTAATGACATCATGAAGATGCCCTATAAAAAGTGAGTGAACTGTTCTAAAATAAATGTCCAGTATGGAAACAGCCATGATTTCTCAGTAGTATCCTGTGGCTCCTCTGCTAGAAAACATGTGCTTCTTTGGGGGGGGGCTCCTGTAAGGGAGTCTCATATATCAACTGTTTCATGGCAGGCTAGCATGATGCAGCAGTATGGATAATCAGTTGGGACCTAATCAAGTAACTCAGACCTTGGATCCATGCTTTGGAGTTGTTCGTGGCACTGACAACATTTGTGACTTGACCATTCCTCCTTCCCTCTGTCTCCCTCAGGATTTGTGACCTGGAATGACTATGCTGTTTCCTGGAAATTCCTATCTGTTTGCAAATACTCCTTGGGAAGTAGGTGAGAACTGGGTTCAATCTCTTTGGAAGTTTGATCTGCTCTTACTAGTCCAATGAACTTCTTGGGATAAGCACAGGGGAGCAAAACAGCTTCTAGCTAAAGTTCCTGCAGGACTGTTTCTCCAGTTAGGACAAGGGTCCCCAAACTGTGCTTCATTCAGGCTGTCCATGACATGCAACCCACCCTAGAACCTTATGGTGAAGTCCATTAAATTAATCGTAACCAGCAAGAACAATAACTTTGGGGATTGTTTCTGTGTAAATATGTACAGGCTCTGGTTGCATACCAGGCTAAAGTCTGGTTGTCAGGCTCTCATGTTTTGACCATCAGATGTTCTTCTTCCCTAAGCCACGGGTGCTGTGCATCGGAAGGATTCGGAAGGGGAGACTGATGTGAAATTGCTGGTGTGAAAAAGGGCAGAAGGCGGAATCCTGGGATGTTTCTTCTTCCTGTCACAACCTTAACTTGCTTCTTTGTTTCTTTGTTGAGCGTTGCAGCGTTATGCAAGGTCATTTCGAGATCAGAGCCCTGGCCAATGGCTTCCATACAACAGGGAGAAATTGAGTTGTAGTAATTGGAGACCTCTAAAGAAGAAGAAAAGGTTGCTGTCCAAATGAGCTTTTCCATTTGAGCCATGATCAGGGACCTGTCAGTGCCCTCATTTTGCTGGACTCAAAACTCCTATCATCCTTGATGCCTGCTGACTGAGTCAGATGAGAGCTAAGAGTCCAGTAGAATTTGCTGTAGTAGCAGGAGCCTCGGTGTTAGCGCAGCACAACAGGCATACCCAGTGGGTGATTTGGGTCAGCAGAAGTGCTGCACCCTGTCGACCCTGTCACATACTGTTTTGTTTCTGCCAGTCCAAGAACATTTGGAAAGAACCAAATCCCCCACCTCGGAAAAAGAACCATTTCTTTCCTTTCTGTTTGCTTTCCATCTTTTCCTCTTGCCATTTTGAAATGTTCATCTTTCATCTATGCGTTCCCATCCAAAACCAACACTGTATAATGCCTATTCATTAAAGACCAACTCTTTTAGCACTGCTTTCTCTGAAAAGTTGTTTTCTGTAAATATGTAAAGGGGGAAAATGACAAAAGTGGAGCTGAGTTGAGCAACTTTGGGGGGGGGGGAAGCATGACCGTAGCCAGGGAGGTGCAGGGGGCAGCAGCCTCCCCTAAATCAAGTAAATAAATAAAAATACTTAACTAACTGACCTACTGCACCACAGATAACTTGGTTCTGCCCCCCCCCCCATATAAAGCCCATAGGGGGAAGAGCTCTCATCTGAAAAGCTTAAAAGGTGAAATTAGTGGATGTTGTAGCCTTTTTAAGGACAAAACTTGGCACAAGTCTTGCACACAAGATTTTGGTTTACCTGCAGAGTATGTGCATAATGTATCATATTACCGCTTTAGTCCTCTGCTATCTGTAGAGCCAATCTGCTTTTTGATTTCTTCACCTTGTATCCAAGCTGATGTTCTTCACCACACAAGGCACTGAATGATTTTCTCAAAAAGGAGCAGTTCGGTGACTGATTTGGTCGGGGTGGGGAGTTGGCGAGCAATTTGAGTAGCAGCTGCAGCTCCCATTGGCTTCCATAAGATCCAACATTCTCTCAGGGGACTTTAGGGAGTCGGTGCTATTTCAGGAAGAGGAGTCCACGAGTGTTTCTCAGATACGTGCGAAGGATCCTGCACGAAGAATCTACAAGATCGCATATCACAGAGATGTGTAATTTTAAGTCGTTATCCACTGCCATTGAGAATCCAGCCATGCAAATTTATTTTGTGGGTGTGGGTGAGCGAAACATGACGATCTCTGTAAGCATTTTCCTGCAACGAATAATTAATATATTTTGTAAGGAGTAGCACGGGAAGAAACCATTTCAGCTGCCCAAAGGAACACTCTCCAGCTTTTCGCCGGAGTAGCTCAGATTCTTGCTATTTTATTCCCCCCCCCACGCTAAATAATCCCGCCCAGACTGCAGGCGAGGCTGTTGAGCCTATGGAACCTCCCATACTAGCAGACTGGGCGCCTAGTGTTCTGGATAGCCGAGGGGTTCGGGCGCGGGGCTGCGGAGCCGAAAGGCGCCTCTGTCGCCGAGTTCGAGGTTCGCTGATGACAGGATGCGGCCCGCGAACGCCTGGCTTGATAACAAACCTGTGCAACCGCCGCAAAGCCCAAACTACGGGAGAGATGAACCGCTGCTGCAGTTTCGTCACACTGTACCTTTCATAGGATCGAAGGGGGAGGGAAAGAACAAAGTGAGCTGGGAACCTCCCCCCCCCCCAAAAAAACCCCACATTAGATCACGCGTAAAAGTGTCCGACAGGCGACTTCCTGTGCAAAGCGAGTGAATTGGCAAAAGCAGGAAAAGCTCCGGATTTAGGGCGACTCGCTCTATTTCAGCAGGAGACACAGCACAACGCGATGGGAAGTTCTCCAAGGGGTATTGGGATGGATCCGTGCGGGATTTGTTTTACGTCCTCAAAAGTGACTCTGGTGGGACTCGAACCCACAACCTTTGAATCGCTGCGCCACGCTAGAAGTCCAATGCGCTATCCATTGCGCCACAGAGCCGCGGGTCACGCTCTTCCCTCTGGCTCTTAAAAGGAGACTTACAGGTCACTTTAAGGAAATCCAGAGCGTTTACATGGGGAGGCAGAAAGGACTTGCTTTGCGTTTGGAATTGCAGCCAAGGCTGGGGTGGCGAGTACTAGAAGACAAAAGAACCGACATGACTGATGGGGTTTTTAAAATGGACTAATAAGAGAAACAAAATCTGTGCATCAGAAGTGGGGTTCGAGCCTAGGCAGGCTTATGTGTCGACTGGATCTCAAGCCCTACGCCTTAGCCATGGTTTACAGAGCGGCCCAGTGGCTAACTTATGACTCCTCAGAATAAGGTGAATAAGCGCAGTGTTCGAAATACGGGTTACTATGAAAGCGTCTTTATTTAACAAAGTACAGCAGCTATTAGCCAATGCTGAAATTCTGCCTTGCAGCAGCTAACCTAAGAGTCAGGCAGACAGACAGGGGACTATTTCCTGCAGCTGTCGATTTTTTTATGTATTTTTGGATGTGTGTGCGTGTGTGTTCACACCGCTCAAATGCATGGGTCCATTTCTCCCTTTAATACGCAGCTAGCTGAATGTTTCACTTTGAGCTCCCCCCCCTCCCCGCCATGAAAACTTGGAAAGAGCTTTCCGATGCCCCCTCGCGCGAACCGGAGGAAACTTTCTCCGCCTCTTGCCGCGAGGAGACCTCCCTGAGTTTTCTCGCCACTTTTGCTCTCTCCTTCTCTCCAGACCGCGGGATCAGACGCCGGGAGACTTGGAGGAGAGTTTCCGTCTTCCCGCCCGACCCGAGGCAGCAACAAATGCAAGTGAAAGAAAAAAAAGCTTTTCCTCCTAGGAAAAAAATCCTTGCGCATGTATCCCCCGGTAGCCGCTTTCCTGTGCTCGAGCCCGCCAGGGGGAGGCGATCATTCCCAGGTTCAGTCCCGGAAATCTCCGGGTAAAAGGATCAGAAAGAAAGCAGGGCGGAAGCCCTTTGGCCGTGACAAAGTAAAAAAAGCATCCCTGCCTCGACTCCATGGCAGGCCTTATAACAAGAGGAAAAAAAGCCCAGGGGTCCCCGACTCTGAGATTCACCAGGGCTAAGAAACCTGCCTTCCAGCTTCAGGCTGCGACCCCTCGGGGCAGCCACGTGGGCTCACACACCGCGAGAAGCCACTCCAGCAACACGCGGCAAGGAGGATTTTTACGCCACCTCTCCAAGTTTTAACTGAGAACGGGCTGCCTAGGATTAGAAGGGCTTCCTCGCCCTCTTTGCCAGGACACCGCAGACCCCACGGGTCTCTAACCGCGGCCAACTGGTCTTAGAGGCGCTTCTACAGCCGCGGAACTGGTCCCTCTGCTTCGGCTGCAGCACACCACTTCCGGTGGGCGGACGATGTCTGCGCGGAGGACTAGAAAGAAACACCTATAGGGATCCAGCCAGTCAGTTGCCCTCCGGCCTGGCGTGCCATTTGTAGGGTTTTTCCTCAACCTGTGGGTCCCCAGATGTTGTTGAACTACAACTCCCATCACCCCTAGCTAGCAAGGCTAGAGCTCAGGGATGAGCAGTGCTTTTTCCCCTTTAAAAATATTTAGGGGTACTCTCATTTTGACTCAAGAAAATCACAATTTCAGTAGTTCTAATCGGGAAAAATAAATACAGTAAATGGACAAAAGTACAAAGATTCACAAAATGTTTAGGGGAATGCGCCCCCCCCCGAAAAAAAGCACTGAATAGAAGATAATAAATACAATCAATATGGGGAACATTCGAACACGTGGGTTGCTCTTCTGCAACTCTTTTAAGTGCAAAAGCAGAAGCAGCAGATCCTGAGCCCAGAAGGCGTCCCCGAGTGTTGCCTTCAGTCCTTTGCTCACCCCATCGCTGCTAATATATCGGAAAATGCCAGCTTCGTCCCAAAAATGGATGCCCCCCGCCCAGCGCTAGGTTCTCCGGCGCGTGATTGATACTGTGACCCTTCCATCATTGAAACCCCTTTGCTTTGCCCCTTTTAACTGTTCGTAGGAACCCCCATTGCCAACCCCGGAGCATTTCCAGCCCTTACTGCCGCGAAGCAGCGGACCTTTACTGCAATGCCCGCAGGGGGGTTGGAGAGCTAGGGAGTTTAAGGATACTCACGTTAATCGGACATTAGCGTAAACCACAACATAATGCACAAAATGTCTGGAATCAGCTCACTCGGAAGATATATAATAGCACAACTTAATGCAAATTCCGCAGTGGGTATTGGGATCTTTGGCAAATTTGTTTTCATCCTCAAAAGAAACCTGTGACTCTGGTGGGACTCGAACCCACAACCTTTGAATCACTTCACTACGCTAGAAGTCCAATGCGCTATCCATTGCGCCACAGAGCCGCGCGTTAGCTTACCTCCTCTGCCTTAAAGGACACTTTTATGTTACCCAAACAGTGGCATCCATCTGCCGGAAGTTTTCTTGGGGAGGTATAAAGCAGTTGCTTTAGGTTGGAAATTGCAGCTCCATCCGGGGCGGAGAGCAAGAAGACAAAAAGTTAAAATGACTGGGGCGGGGAAGTTTAAAGCGGACTAGCAAACAAAAGCTCCCTCTCTTACCAGAAGTGGGGTTCGAACCCACGCAGACATATGTCTATTGGATCTTAAGTCCAACGCCTTAACCACTCGGCCATTCTGGTAATTATGGTCAAATTTAAAAACACCATGAAATAAGCTGAATAACTTCAGCCTTTTGACGCGCGATACATCCGCCCCCCGCTGGACGAAGAGCGTCTCCATTCAACAAGCTGCATCGAGTAGTAGCAGAAGTTCAAAACCCATCTCCTAGCTACCCTGCCTGCCAGGATTAGCGCGTACGACAGAGCACTACTGGAAGGGCACGTTTCACACGAACAAATGTAAGAGAATTCATTTAGCACTGACAACTATAGTTGGCTAACTAGTAATAAATCTTACACTTTCACCAGACATGAGAAGGGTCTGTTTGGTGGTGGTGGGGGGACTCAGATATGTTCTGTGGAAGCACGCCATTATGCTTGTTTGCTTTCATACTGGGACAATACGAACGAAGTTTGATTTCCCCCCCCCCCTTTTCCCCTTTACGTGTAGATAGATGCGTGCTCTCCGTCCCCACTCGAAACATTAGTGCCATTCTCAAACGAGGCCGCAAGGTGGCAGCACAACGAGCTGCGTCAAAGGCAGCAGCGCGCTGCGGGCGATGCTTCCTGAACAGAACTTTTATCAGAAGCGAAGACAAAAAACATTGGGAAGAGAGCAGGTAGGTTTTCTTTCGCCCTCCACCGGAATTAGACTGAAATTCTAGACACACCTACCTAGGAGTAACTACCGCTGAACTCAGTGGGGCTTACTTCTCAATAGACTTGCGTAGGATTGCAGTGGTTTTCTTCCAGAATCTTTTAAAACATACTGATTGCATTGTGCTTAATCTATTTTCAGTTATGTGCTTATATTTATCATGCTCGACTCCTTC